CTCTTGAAAATTAAAAGTATGATAGTGGAAGTTAAAAGAAAATTAACAGAGAGATTAGAACTTAAAGTTGAGAGTGTTTCCCAGAAAGCAGAACCTAAAGAAACAGGATTGAATATTAGGAGAACAAAAACATCTAGGAAATAAAAGCATTTTTTTAATGAAACATTTGTCGACTTTAGGAACAGAAAAAACATTCAAGAAAGAAAAAGAATGTGTAAAGAATACACTTGACACAGCTGTGGACAATGTAACGGTCAGTCATGTACATTCAGAGTATGGATTTAACCAAAGTTGCAAGGAGGAGTCCACACCATGGCAGAAACTCAGTGGACAATGTCTAAAGTTGATAACTCGAGAGAGCACAGAGAAGGAGTGCTCTTGGTGTTGACATAAGAAATGTGCCAACATGTGGAGAATTTTTAGAAGAGTTTATTTGAGCCAAAAGCAACAACATTTCTGGGAAGCAAGATCTCCAGTGCTCCAGAGAATGACGGTTTTGCAGCTTCTTTATACCTTTGGCGTTAAGGGGGAAATGAAAGATCACAGGAAGGGGGGAGAAAGCAGGGCCCAGGATAGTTAACAAGATTCACGCTCTCTGGAGGGCGGTTATGCCCCTGAGAAGTATGGAAAAGAGGATTACCTCTGGTGTTTCAAGGTGTGTTGACCTAGAGGTATAAGGTCAATGGACAGGGCTTGCTTAAATCTTTTACTGAGGTCACAGGCCTGGGACCTGACCACCCACTTTGACCCGCCCAATTAGGAATTAATGATCAGATCACCCTGTGAGGTTATTTTTGGTTAGACTTATCACAGCGCCCCCTTCTGGTCCACACCAGCAAGCTGAAAGGTCTTACAGTGGCCAGAGGTAGGAACTGCTGCCCTTTGATAGAAGTTTTGTAGTATTTGATGTTTACAAGTACTGTTTTGATATAAGAGTAAAAAATGCATTTTAAAAAACTCAGATGTAATAATTTTAAAATGTGGGCCAGGCAGAGCCATTTAGCATTCAAACCACCACAAGCGGGAGGAACAACTTCCACCTCAGTGAGTGCTCTAGGGAGCAGCGCAGCACAGTCCCCACCCTTTCTGGTACCAGGGGCTGGTTTCCTGGGAGATGATTTTTCCGTGGACTGAGGGTGGGGAGTGGGTCAGGGAGGGTTTCAGGATGATTCGAGCACATTACGTACGTTCAAGCTCACCTCCTGCTGTGTGGCCCAGGTTCCTAATAGGCCCAGACCAGAGCCAATCTGTGACCTGGAGGTGGGGACCCCTGGTCTAGGGTCATCATGAAAAGGTTTGACTATTCTGCCTTAGAGAAGCAGGTGTGATGGGGATTCTTCTCCACCCAGACACTGTGTGCTGGGTGCTGGGTGCTGTGGCTGTTTGGGGACAGTGCAGATGTGGACTGTCCCCCTCTCCCTCTGTGGGAGAGATGGTGCAGTGCCTCTGTTCTGAGCCTCTCGGGCAGCCTCCCCCAAGGCCCAGGAGAATCGAGGGCCGACTCTGATCTTCCTCGCCAGCCGCAGGTCTGCCAGACCCCTTTCTGCCTGGCAGCTCCCCCCAGGCCCCTGTCTGTGGTTGCTTGAGGTGAGAAGTGAAAGTCGCTGACCACAGAGGAGGATGTCCTGCGGCAGAAATTACCCCCCAGACCCAGAGGCTGCCTTGGTGAGCCATTGGGGCACAGGAGAAGGAGAGGAAGCTGAAAGGGCAGATTCGGCTTCTGCGCAGACAGGGAAAGGGGTGTGTCCTCGACTTCTCCTAGCACCTGGAGACCCCAGGGATGCTTGGCTTGGCTTGTGCTTTCCCGGTCTTGTCTCACAGGAAACAAGACCTTGTCTCACAGGTCTTGTTCTGTTTACACAGAACCGGAGAGCCCAGTAGAGTCACACTACCTGGATGCTGTGCTGGGTTCTTCACATTTGTTCCCTGGTTGAGCCTTGTTTCCCTGGTCATCTTCCTGTTACCCGGTATTTTAGAAGATTACAGTACTGGGTCCCAGCCTGGCACAAGGTTCTTTCTTTAAACCCTGAGGAAGCACAGACTCTTTCCCGGGAAGTTAGCATATCAGAACAATTATGTTTGACATGGTAATCAAAAGGAGTGGTGGCTTTTTTTTTATGTCTCTTGGTATAAAACTTGATCAGAGATGTTAGTTTTACTTTGTCTTTTTTCCACAGTAGAATCATTTGAATAATATTAAACGATTGTAATCAGGGCATTTGAAGATACTGGAATTTGAAAGATGGTGGTGAGGCAGCCACATGTAGGGAGAGCCTTTGAAATAGAAACAGAGGGGCTGGGACCGGAAGAAGCCCCTGACTCACCACGCACATGGGTTGTGAGGGCAGGTATGCGAAGGAGGGTCTCCCTCATTTCTCCCCCCTGTCCTTCCCCTCCCCCAAGCTCTGTCTCTACACCCCCTTTCCTCCTGTCCCCTTACCATCACACCTTCAGAGGCCTTACCATGTGCCTGGCACTCACTGAACCATGGGTGTTATTATACACAGAATGTAATCATTGCAATCTTATGTATATGTTGATAATTTAATCATAATTACTGGTTGCACCATCCTACATATCAAGAAACTGAAGCTTGGAACGATTAAGTAACATGCCCAAAGTTACCCAGCTGGGAAGTGGTAGCGACTGGAGACAGGCTGGGCGGAGTCCGGGTTTCTCCTGCACATGTGGGACACAGTGCGTGCTCAGCTGCGTGAGCCGTGAGCGTGTTGACAGTGGCAAGTGCATAGACGAGCCTCAAAACAGTGAAGCGGTTTTCTCAAGGCCACACACTGGTCAGTGGCCATGCTGTTGACCCAGGTCTCTGATTCCAGGTTGCTCTTCTCTCTGCAGCGTCAGCTTGCCGAATCTGCAAAGAGAAATGTTAGAACCTTCACTACTAGAAACATATAACCTCCTGTCCAGGTGCCAAGCCCTGGATTTTCACGTTTCTTCAGTTGTTTTTGAGTTGTGAGTACATCTGTTAAGCACGGCCAGAAGCAATGCCAGAGGAACGATATCTGGCTCACTTTTGTTTCCTAACGGACAGAAAAAATCCTAAGTCAATCTTAGATTTAATGCATTTTTTCTTCTCTGACCCAATTTAAAAAAAAAACAGACAAACTGTTTTCATCAGGAAGAATGTCCCCTTGAAGCCGTCAAGGGGAATTAGTGAAGCCGTGAATTGGTGGGTACATTACCATTGTGGCCGAGCTCATCGTCTTCCCCCAGCACTGGGTCAGCAGCTCTCACCCAAGGTCAGCTGGTGACTCAGGGCCTGAGTGCATCTCAGGCATTGGTTATAATACAAACGTTGGTTGCTTTGTAGCAGTCGACCTTGGGTGAGAGAGATCATAACTCCAGACCATTTGCCTATGGAAAATGCCTCGGCACTGGCCACCCATCCCCTCACTTGCCAGTGGAAAGCACCCTGGGGCGGTGATACTGGCTGCCCATCCTGACAGCCCCGCCACATGCAGGCACGAGGCTGGGCTCACCAATTCGGTCCTACACCTGCCAGTTCTAGAAGGAAAAGAGATTAGACAGTCAGCCCACAGCTACCCTATCTCCACAACCTCCTTTTTTCACTGCATCATGTTAAAGCTGTATCTGTGTTGTTTTCAAAGCTTGGCTCAAGTATTAACATCTCCTTTGCCATGCACCCCACAGCTCTGTGCTGGGAACCATCACACCGTTCAGGGAAGTCCCCCACACTGTGTCTGCAGCTCTCTAATCACCCTGCCGTTCCCTGCCTGGTGCTAAGTGTGCCCCTCTCATTGTCCTCATCAGGATGTAAGACTTCACAAGTAAAGATGAGTCTTAGGATGATTGATGGCTCTTCTGTGTTTGGGACTCAGTGAACATGGGGTTACTGAATCTGCAGGCAGATATGCCACGTGGCGACAAAGGTTTGGGGAGATGGGAATGACTGCCCACATTCCTGTTGCTCATCCTTTAGCTTTTGGCTTTCGTGTACTCAGGAAAGGGAGAACTCTAAGCTGGAGGGTGGCGGACTGCACCCTGTGGGCTCATGCCAACCTCTGTCCATTCTCATGTGGAATCATTTTTACATTTTGAAATGACTGGGTTGGGGGGGAATACTGTATGACATGGAAGAGTACATTAAATTTCAATTTTTAATGCTCTTGTTTACGAATAAAGTGTCATGGGAATGCAGCCATACTCGTTTGTCTGTGTACTGTCTGTGGCCATCAGCAGCGGAGTAGTTTTTACCATGGAGACTGCACCTCCCACAGAGCCCAGACTGCTTACCGTCGGACCCAGTGCAGAAGTATGCCAGCCCCTGCTCTGAGTCCTTCTCAGAAAGGGCTGCCACCATAGGGAGAAGGGATCAGATGGCCTTTTTGATACAGGGGATGTGGAGTGAAGGCACAGAATACCTGAAGGAAAAGAGATCTGGAAACCAGAACAGGGAGGAAGGGGAGGAAGAAGCTTGTGGGAAGACACCAGGTCTTCTGGGCGTCGTCCACCTGGGGGGGCGAACAGTTGCACCAGGAGAGTCCCGTCTCACTCAGGGGCACTGGGCCCTTGAAGCCGGTGGACGTGGCACAGGGCAGGCACCGGCTACTTTACACAAGCTTTCTGCCCTCTGTCGAGGGCTCTGCGTGGCCGGACAAATTATAAACTAGGAAAGGTGAGAGTAGGAGGTTATCCATCACACCTGATCGTTCCATGCAGTGCTAACTAGTATTAAAGGGCTCTGTGCAGCCCAGGTATCTCCGATTCAGCTGTGTGTGTGTTCATGTTTGTGTGTGTGTGAGAGAGAGAGAATCTGAATCTGTGTTAAGTATATATCTATCTGTGTATTTCTTTGGAGGAAATCCATTTTGGATGAATGCCAATTAATTATCCCATCTGTGGGGACCGTGAAATACTTGCAGTTTTTAAATAAAGACATCAATTAGAACTTGCCTAACATCCGTTTTTCATTTCCAAATCTGCTGTCATTTTCATGTGTTTCTCTCATTCTCTTGTTACAGGGAAACGCCCTGTACTTCAAATCAGCCAGAAATGTGACCGTGAACATTCTCAATGACCAGACTAAAGTGCTAACTCAGCTGATAACAGGTAAGAGAAAAAAAACTTAGCACTGCCTGGTCCATGCTAAGCACCCAGAAAATGTAGAACCAAAACTCGAATGTAACACCACATGAACTCAAGAAAGAAATGTCTGCCAGCACATTGTACAGTGGGGAGAAGGGGAAGGAAGCCCGATTTCACGATCCCACCCGAGTGCAGAGTGTCTTCATAGACACACGTTTAACTTATGCAAGCCCAGTGATACGTGTTTAAGAAGGAATAAACTAGTTTTCACGCGGCACTGCCCCTCAACACAAGCCAGCTGCTTCCGCTGGTGCTCAGCCACAGAGAAGCTCTCTGCTCCGAGGCCGAAGGAAAAGCTGACTGTGTTGGATTAACCGAGAGGGAGCAAAATGCCCACAAAACCACGTGCACCACACTTTATGGGGTGTCAAGGGGATTTTCAATGGTAGTGTGCATCCAGCCATGTTTGTGCACAAGCCGACTGTGAGCCTAAGTCAACTGCAAGATGCAGATGTCCCCCCACTGAATATGTTTGCCTGGTTTCTGTTAATACAGCAGGTTGGCTCCTGGCAGCTGTGGAAAGCACCCACTGGGTTTCAAGCTGCATATTCCTGAAGTTTAAACAAGGGTTGGTTGGTTGTGGCAATGCTTATTACGATGATAAACAAGGGCCTCATGGCTGTGGTACGACCGGCACCCCCTCTGTGTGTTATGAGCACCAGTAAACAGGAGCCAGCATGCACCCCACAGTGGAAAGGACAAGGGGTGTGTGTCCAATGGTACTGCTATACTTCCAGACAGAAAAAGCCATTTGTTTGGCTTCCGGGCTGAGGGAAAAGTATGCAGATGGATGTTTTGAGAAGCCAGTTGCCCAAATGCCCTGAAACGTTACTGTGACTGAAACATCTGCAGCCCCACTCATGCGCGCGTCCCGGGGAAACAGGTGCCTTGGTGCTCAGGCCTGCCGTCCACCCCGCAGGAGCCGTGCACATGGGTGTCTGGGGGCCCACGGCACTGGGGTGACTTGGACCATCTACCACCAGTGCAGAGTTCAGGGCTGGGAGGAGCAGCCATAAACATGCTGCTCTGGAGTGCCAGTGCATTGTCAGCGGTGCTTATAGCACATCTGGCCCGCAGTCACCATGCTAAATAATTAAATAAACGGCTTCAGTAAGCAGTGATTTAAGTGGCGTGTGGGAAAACTGCCTCCAGGAGGGGAATAAATCCAACCTCCCGCTTCTCGAGTTCCACATTCAGAAGGAACTTATTTAGCCTGTTGATCATTTGCCATTTATTCGCAGGGGGAGATTTGGTTTACTTGAGAGATCTTGTTTTGGTAAAGCCTGAACTGTCCAAATGACTGTTCTTCAGCAGGGAGTCAGTCTATCCCCGTCTCTCTCCCGCTCCCCACTCTTCCCATTTCCCCACCCACCACAACCCCTTTCTTTCTCCTTCCTCTTCTCTCCTTCTTCCCTTTCTCTTCCCCCTCCTCTCTCTCTGTCCACCATTTTTTAATTTTTAAATCCTTACCCAAGGATATGTTTATTGATATCAGAGAGAGAAGAAAAGGAGACATTGATTGGTTGCCTCCTGTATATTCCCTGACTGGGGATCAAACCCACAATCTAGGGATGTGCCCTGACCGGGGATGGAACCCATAACATTTTGGTGCGTGGGCTGATGCTCCAACCAACTCAACCACCTGGCAGGGGCTCTCTGCCCCGTCTTTCTTCCTCCTAATCTCCCCATTCTTTCTCTTTTCTCTCTCTCTCCTTCCTCTTTCCCTGTCTTCTGCTTTGCTGTCTCCTCTGCCCAAGTCAGACCCTTTTGGGAACTGAGAAACCTGTACATAACTCAAGGCAAGGTACAAGGTAGCGAATACTAACCTGAGAAGCCATTCTGATACTGGTCTGCAAGAGTCTTTCAAGAGGACTTCTAGAGAGGAGAGCAAATGTGTTCAAAATATAACTCCGAGCATTCTCCTGCACACACACAAGCTACCCCTAAAGTTTGCCTTCAGGGTGCTCTATGTCCATGCATGTGCGTGAGGGACGCACAGAGCAGTTCCAGGAGGCAGTTTCTTGTGAGTGAACTTACTCGTGAGCAAATGACTCCCGTCGTCCCAGAGGCCAGGTGTACTGAGGCAATCCAGAGGATTCGAGAATTTTTGGTTTACCTACAGAACGTCTCCAAAGGCCAGAAGAAATTCCACTGTTAGCAATCCAGGTGACCTTGTCACATGAAACAGCGTTTTAAATGGCAGCTAAGCTCCCAGACTAGACTGCAGGTGCACATTTGACTCAGACCACTGCCGATTCAGTATCAGCCCCAGAGTGGGTCCAACAGGAAACCTTCTGCCCCCCAAGAATGAAATGGTGGTGGAATCTTGCAGAGGATCCTGCCAGAGCGGGGAAGGCACCTAGTATCCAAGGAGCTGGGGAAGGGATGAGGCTGGGTCCATGGCAGCGTCCTGACTGGGACACTGCCGAGCCTCCGGTTGGGTTCCAGGTCTCCCTGTTGAGATTAATGGATGAGGTGCTTCATGCACAGACTATGGGGCACAGAGGGGAGTTAACTGGAGAGTACAGGGTGCAAGTAGGGATTTCTTTTTTTCTCTCCCAGAGAGGGAACAGTGGGTTCACCAAGGAGCCTCCTGAGCAGTCCAGAGTTCCATTTATATTCCTCTCTAGAATTGTTTTGTGTTTGTTGTTTTCTTAAGGTCTCACCATGTGCTCGGAAGTTGGACAGCCCCAGGTCAGACTGACAAAAGCACAAGCCCGTCTGCACCAGGGAGCCAGCAGCCTCTAGCAGGGGTTTGGCTAAAGCTCCCAATTAATGAGCTGTATGCACCCAATAGTTCTAGCCCTTGGTGAATTCCACTCTGTGTTCTGAGCTGCCCCAGAAAGCAAGAGAAGTTCATTGTGTTTAGTGTTCTACAATGACTATCATCTGTTCAGTACACCCTCCTGTATGTCTTGCCCACCGCCATTCATGAGTCCAGAGTAAACAGGGTTTACACAGAGGCAGGCGCTCTGACTCCTCAGGGTCCTGTCTCATGTTACCACCTTAGTTTGTGAAGGCAAAGTTCAAGAATGTGGGTTCCCCGGTCCTGTCACCACTCTGCTGCCTGACTGAATCCAGAGTGGGCAGACTGTGGTCACCTGTGCCCATTCCAAGGTCATTCATTCATTCATTCATTCAGTAGCCCTGCTTTATCTCCTGATCCCAAATCACCACCCTGAAAAAGAGGCAACAACCCCAAGCACTGACAAGTAACACAGATTTCCCGGAAGGTTGGGTGTTACCAGGGCACTGCTAAGACAGCGTATCTTAGCCCTTCCCAGACAACTAACCCCAAGTTCGCATTCACATCTCTGTCCTTCCGGGATCTCTCTCTCGTCCTTCTCTCCAGCTTTCCACTGCCCTTCGCCCTCCCCAGAGCTCCTCACGTCGACTCCAGCCCCCTTCTCCTTCCTAGACAAATACTCGTCTCTTTGCTTCTGTGGAACAGTTAGGAAAGCTCAGCTCCAGACCCAGATCTGCCATTAGCTCACCTGAGGACTGGACCTTGAGGGAGCTCTCAACCTTTGCCACGTGCTCTTCTCACCTACGGCATGAAGGCGGTGGGGAAAGATAAGCCCAGGTCCCATGCCACTGGGAAATTCTGTGCTACATCTGCTGTTTCTATTGCCCATGAAGAAGCCTTTCCCATGCCCTTCATTTTATCGGAGGGCTAGTGCAGACATTCTGGTGGGAGATCAGGGCTCCAAGCTGACACGGTTATGTGAAGGAGGCAGGTGCCCTAAGAGGTTCTCATCGTTAATTCTTTTCACTTAGTTTCAAAGGTCAATAGGTGTTTCTTTCTCACATTGATGTCTGTCTATCTGTCTGTCTCTCTGTCTCTCTCAAATTAATACACATATCCTCAGGTGAGGATTAAAAAGAAAAGAAGAAGAAAGATCAAATGACTTGCACAGAGTCACATTACCAGGAAATGAGTTGGGACGTGATTCTTGTCCTCTAATGCTTAGACTGATGGCTGTGACGAAAGGGAAAACAGCCCCAGGCACCCAGGGGTTGGCGGGGACTGTCAGCCAAGCCTTGGAGTTCTGCTGTTGGACCATAAATAATTTCACAGAACATCAACACTGGACAAGGCCACTTGGTGGCCATGAAGGGTAAAGACAGAGCAAAAACAAAAACAAAAACAGCTCAGACAGAATGAAAACATTTATCCAAACCACAGAAACAACCAAACATTCCTCTATCCTAGCTAATAGGACTTGTTTCTTTATTCGTTACAGTTTTAACATTGTTCTGGTGTTCGCTACTTCTAGAAAAAGATTTATTAAGGTTCCAAGCATAAAATTACTTCTACCTCCTGAAAGCATCTAATCCAAAGCAAAGTCTTACTTCCTTGAATCATGCCCAAAATAACCTAATGTAAGGCAGAAATATACTGTCAGAAATCCTTCCTTAATGCCAAGATGCCTCTCGTGGCTCCCTGTGGTGTGTCCGCCCTCCTCGCAATGACCACTGAACCCAGCCTGTTCAACTGCAGGGATGTTCCTGGTCATTTCTGCCTGGAAGACAGGAGGACTCTTTTATTACTACTTTTTATTAATAACTAGAAGGAAATGAAAATTCTATATCAGAATCTTATAAAATTTCTGCATCCTAACCCCAAAGTTTCTTCTATGTGAATCTCCAGGCCAAAAGATAAATCCCTTTGCATCTGAGATGGTCCTTTGTGGGGGACTGATGCTCCCAGGCTATTCTGATGAACGTCCTGCATTCAGCTGGCTCCAGCACAGACAGACTGACCTGTCTCCTTTTTTTTTTTTTTTTAGGAATTCTAACACATTAATTTGTTTTATTTTTTCCAGACTGCCCCAAACTTTCTGCAGTTATGTATTTATTTATACATGTTCACACTCACCTCCGTCTGTCTCCATCAGAAGACAAGTGCTATGGGGTCAGTGCTGTAGCCTCATCTTCATTACATGTCTATAGTCCCACCTTCAAAAGTAGTATCTATTGTCATGTGACAAATGCTGTAAAATGTATTTTTTTGTGAAATGAAATTCTAGCATAAAAAAGTCATTGACTTTCTTAGGCAAGTAATTGCAAGATGCTATAACCTTTCCTGCCCAGAAATGATCTCTGTACTGAGGAAATATAACTTGTCTGGTGTCAAGAGCAGCTGGTGGGTCAAGGATACAGAGCGAGACAGATTCTGGGTCAATTTAAAGGCCCCCTGTACAATAGTTGGGGCTGGGCCAAAATATGCTGGTTACTTCAACAGGCGGTGAGCCTTCCATGCCTTGATATGTTCAAGCCAAAATCTACAAGTATCTGATGGTAATTTGGTGGTTAGCTCAAATGCCACGTTAGGGAATGTCATTCAAGCATTAGTTCAGAGGAAGGATGTGACAATCTTGAAAATCCTAGCCCAAGAGCATATGATAAAAGGTAACTGACAAGACGCAGCTCAAGTCCTGAGACTGATTTTCATGGTTGGCCTCTGAAAACCAATCCACTTACACTGAAGTCCAGTACAAACTTGTCAGATGCCTAAGCTGTATGACAAGCTCTTCGTAATTGAATGCAATGAGACTAATGTACCCTCCTTCTCTTCCTTCCAGGTCCAAAAGCTGTAGAAGCTTATGGCCAAAAGTTTGAAGTAAAGACACTTTCTGGGAAGTTGCTCTTCTCTGCTGACAACAAGGAGGTGGTAGTCGGAGCTGAGCGATTACGAGTCTTAGGTAAGGAGACTTCGATTGGCCTGATGCTACTGTGTCCCTCTGAGAGGAAGAGTGAAATGGTGTCTACAAAAGTGATTTAGGCCAATTACCTGGATTCTCTTAAATCAAGGTAGTTGAGCCACCCACCTTGGAACCTGGTCCTTGGTGAAAATTTCTCATCTCGATGTCTTTGTAACACATCTGCCAACACTGCGCTTTGGATGGGCCGTGCACTCAAACCGAGAAGTGCAGTAGAGGGTGTCCTGTCCTCACAGCTGGTGGTCTTGGCAGAAGCAGTCCAGGCCCATGTATGTGTCAAGCAATCACCAAACCTGGTCATAACTTAAGAATCCCTTTTGTGTCACATAACAGGTGACTCCACTGAAAATCTGCATGAACTGGGTTTAGCTGATTAGCTCAGTTGGCTTTTATGAAACTTTTATCTGTATAGAGTGTGTGTTTGACTTACTTTCACCTGTTAGGATTTGGGGTTTCCTTTTTTCCCCCCCACTCAATACTGAAGTAAAATTCTACTAAAGAAAAGAGGCCTGGGTTAAGGTTCAGTGGGTTGGTTTGGGTTCTGAACACTCGAGATGTTAGGTGACAAATCCCAAGCATAGAGCCTTTCAATTCTAAAATCTTTATGCAAAGCCTCTTACTAGAACCCACACTGATGTACTCTCATTAACTCTTTTCTGAAAGTTCAGGAAGAATGTATTACCTGTTTAGACTTTTCATATTGAAGGGGGATCATTTGCCTACCTTATAATAACATAACTCCGTGCTTATTTTTAACACTAGGTTTTAAAAATTGGATTCTATAAGTAACAATAAAGAATGAGCCACTTCTTCTGGACACCCTATAGTTTTGTACTTCTTAGTCTGAACTTACAATTTTATATTTCTTGCTTTTGGAAAGAGACTACAACCCACCATAGGCAGACTATCCAGTGAGTGGGGGCAGCTGTCCCACAGTCTTTCGGGAGTGTTACCGGGGTCCCCACCATCACCGTCTTCCTCCTGAGTTACTTGGAGATGGTGCCTTTCTTCTGAACCTTCTGGCTGCAGTGTTGGTGGTAGAATATACTGTAAAATGGGTCGTCTCCACTCTGTATTTATTTACACATCACTAGACTTCTTTTTCCATCCCACCTCTTTGCCTATAGGATATACTACATGTCATCATTGTATTCATATATTAGAAATCTACTAGTTTTGTTTTGCACTTTTTTTACTAGTGAATATTTATCATCAAAACTTTTACCAGGCCCCTGAATAAATTTAGTCTTATTAGAAATTTAAAAAAAAATAATCACCGAGGGGACTTCTGAAGAGTTTAGGTTTCTAGATCCAGCCATGACTTGCTGAGTTAGAAGCTCTGATGGAGGAGCCCAAGAAGTTTCTGTGGTCCCACTGTCAGAGCCACTGAATCTGAGAACACAGGAAATTAGTGCTTTGCAGCTGTATATGATCACACTCCAGAACAGTGGATTTATTGAGAGCTCTGATGCCACAGCTGACCTGGATCTTAATCTCTGCTCTGTCATTTGTCAGTTGTATGACTTTGGGCAAGTTACCAACATCTGACCCTGTTTTCTTTCCTGTTAACATGGACCAAGAACATCTAGCATCTCAAGTTGCCCCTCCAGTTAAATGAGATCACGTCATATGTACTTACCACAGTGCCTGGCACAAAGCAGTACTCAGTCAATACTAGCTGTTGGCTGCTGTTAATACTCATACTACTGCTTCTACACTAATACGAATACCGCTTTTCCTTCTACTGATCCCTAAGTGTACCCACTTTGACTTCAACCCCTCTTCCTCTCGAGCTATGTGCCCTTAAGCAAGTTGTCCAACCTTTCAGTGCCTATGTCTGCTCATCTATAAAATGTGGGGAGAAGGGATGGTGGGTAATAGAAGTATCTACCTTCTAAAGTTCTTGGAAGGATCAAATGAAATAATCTATGTAAACTGACTAGCAAGTAAGTATTCACTAAGTGCTGGTGGAAATTACTATTTGTCCCCTGTATTATTAGTTTCACAAAACATCTTCTTTCTTCATTACTGCTGTTCTCCTTCAGGTCATTGCCTCTGCCCTCAGCCAGTTGGCTTGTCTTGTCAGCCTGTCTGTCTCCTCCTCTCCTTCTCCTTTCCTACCAATCACCCCACCCTCCACTTTTGACCTGTACTTGGTCCTGACTTCACTATCACTGATACTGGCCCCATCTTGCTCCCCTGTCAGTCCCAAAACTTGGGCACCATCCTGAGCGATACCGGGCTCAGCAGAGTTCTAAAGCAGAAGTGACCGGCTTGAGGGAGCTCCAAGGAAGTAAGAAGTCAGGGTGCAGAGGCAGGAGATGAGGGACAACCAATGCCTGGTCAGGCGCCCTGTGGCATGAACAGGAATGACACCCTTTGTCACCTTGTTATTTCCTATCTATATCATGAGAGTTGTTTAGAGAAGAAGTCTGCAAATTCTTTTTAATTCAGCCACAAAAACTTAAAACAATAAAATAGAATACCAAACCCCCATAAATAAAATACGTGTATATAAAATACCAGGACTGCTCTGGGTTGTAACCACTCATTGTGCCCCAAGCACATGCTTTCTGTGCATTCTTACATTTACACCTCCCCACACCAGGTGAAGGAGGTAGGCACCGTGGTAAGTATCATCCCCACTTTGCAGGTGACAGGGCTGGGCCACACCTAGTAAAGGGAGCGAGCCAGAACTCCCAGCCAGGTATCTTGAATGCAGACTACTTTCCTTTAAAGTGCTATACTTCATTGCCTCCTCAAGTGTATCCCATTTTCAGATCAATAAACTAAGGCTTGAAAAAGCTAGGAAACTTACCCAAGATCAAGTTCAAATCCTTGCCTATGGACTCCAGCATCAGTGCATTTAACTGCATGTAAATATGTTAGTTATAAGACCCTTTTCCAACTCTCACAATTAATATTTTTCCCTGTTATTTGTAGAAGCAGCACTTTCCATGTTAGTTCTTGGTTTGGGGGAAGTTAATGGAACACACACACACACACACACGCACACACACACTTCAGGCCATTCTCTTGTTCAAGGCTGCCTTGCTATACCAGCTCTAAAATAATGACCCAGGGGAAAACGTAATGGTATCTCATGCCAAGATCCTTTCGTACAAATGGTGTTTGGCACTTCCCATTAGGTTCTTAGTGCTTCATGAATCAACTTGATGCTTTAAAATCTGACTTTGCAAAGATACAGGGTAATTTTAGATGTCCAAACACTTTGGTTGAATCTTGTACAAAATTCTATAATGGCGTCATTTAAGAACTTTCCTCCACCCTACCCCAGCCCACCCCTATGCAGACTAAGGGCAGAGAGATTATTATAGTCTTTGGTTACTTCAACGCAGGTGGACGTTTTTGTTCTTGTTGCTTATGCTTGCAATGTGTCTCTTAGAGATGATTTAGCATAAAACCATTAGACACATTTGCTTTTTTATGTAAAAGTATAGAAAGAAAGCATCATGATAAAGACCGCTGCTGCTCCAAGTGCTGAGAAGATTAGGAAATGACCACCCTACAAATCTTGCATCAGCCCACTCAGTGAAATGAGCCCAGTGTGTTGCAGAAATGAGCTTCCTGTCAGCTGGGATTCAGCCATATGGTGTAGAAGCAAAAATTTAGGCAATTTCATTTTCGGCTTAATGAGAAGTTTGTCTTTTGGAGTGGTCAGACTGCACAGGCTCTTGGGAGTTTTGAATCGGGATGTGTATTTCACAGCAGAGTCCATCACACCTGGGCAACCTAGGATGGAAGTGACCCTACCCAAGTCCATTTTTATCTCTGAGCTTTAGTTTCTACAAGTATCAAACAAAGAGAGGTGAACAAAATAAAGAATGGAAGTAAGGATGAATTAATAGAATAAGAAACAAATGTAAATAAATCAATTATTTTAGTTGAGTAGGAAGAGTCGGTAGACCATAAGGAAAAAACCCTAGGAAGATAATACCCCTTGGGTTTAGTAGCTTAACTCTTGAGCTCAGAGTAATTACTTAAGTTCTTCCCTGGATAATCCTACCCACTCATTATGCTGAGCACACTCACAGGACCTAGAATAGTATGGTCCTTGAATAGCATGGTGAAAGGACTGGGAGTCATGCCTCATGAAGAATGGTTCAGTTATCTGGAAACTTTATCCTGGGAGAGAGACGGGGGAATCAGTATAGGCAGACCGTAGTTACGCACCTCCCAAATATGCACGGTTTCTCTGGAGAAAGGAAAGCATATAGCTGAGTGGTTGTGAGCACAGGTCTAACGTGGTCTTTATCATTGGTCAGCTGGTGCCCGAGGTCATCTTGCTTCACCTTTCTAAGTAGCCTTATACTCTGGGACATAGTGTGATAATGCCTGGCTCTCACAGTAATGGGGGCAACTGGGTGGTACAACATGTGCAGAGTGAATAGCACGGCGTGTGGTATCCAGGGAGCACTTCACACATGCTACCTGTTGTTGTGTTGCTGATGGTTTCTGTTTGGGCTTTGTGGGACTCAGCCCTAAAATCTTGTGCAGCCCTTCTGTCTTCATGAAAGAAGATCCTCGTAGAGAAACCAGCTTAGGACCTGCAGGAGTATTCATATGTCAGCTAAGTCTGGACAAGGGGACTTCCCAGATACTGCCAGGGCCAGAACAGAACACAACCACACAGGCTAAGAAGCACTACCCTGCCCACTTCGCCCTGCTGCACATGATGCTGGTCTTCCTAACACGTGTGTTCTCAAGTTGAACTCAGGTAATACAGGCATTGGAGGATCAGGCTGAATTCTCAAAACCGTAGAGTCCCTCCCTGCACTCATGAAGAGAGTGGTTCTCAAAGTGTGGACCAGTGAGTTAGCATGACGGTTTTCTCATTAATTGTGTAGACCCCTGCTGTGGGTACACAAGCCCCTGGGTGCCTCTGATGTGTGTTGAGTTTGTGGCCCCTGAACTAGGACAGTCATGACTTGGCCGCAGCATTGCTGGTGGCTTTCCATTGA